ATTCCCAGTTTTAAATGACCACAGATGCCAACCCAGACTTCTATACCCAGCCAAAATGTCTATTATAGTCGAAGGGGAAAGAAAAATCTTCCATGACATAAATAGGCTGAAGGAATTCATGTCCACAAAACCAGCCCTTCAGAGAGTTATGGACGCAATACAAAGAGCTGAAGAAAGGAATACCTAAAGGGTTGTAGAAAGAAATTCAATGAAGGTATAACTGTGGAAAAGCACAGCTATATCATGAATGTAAACAGAAATAAAAATGACAGGATTCGATACTCATCTTTCATTAATAACTTTAAATATTAACGGACTGAACTCCTCACTCAAAAGACAAAGACTACGTAAATATGGATTAAGAAACAAAACCCATCTTTTTGTTGTCTGCAAGAAACTCATCTCACTTTCAAGGACAGACACTATCTCAAAGTGAAAGGATGAAAAAAATACACCAAGCAAATGGTACTAAGAAAAAAGCAGACATAGCAATTCTAATATGTGACAAAATAGACTTTAAACTAAAACTAATCAGAAGAGATAACGAGGGCCACTTCATTCTGATCAAAGGAACAGTTAACTAAGAAGATATTACAAGCAAGAACATGTATTCACCAAATTCTGGTGCACCCAACTTCATAAAAAAAATACTACAGGACTTTAAGAACCAAATTAACCACAACTCATTAATAGTAGGGGACTTCAATACCCCACTATCTCCATTAGATAGGTCAACAGGCCAGAGACTTAACAGAGAGACATCTGAATTAAACAATACCATATATCAAATGGACTTAATAGACATCTACCAAGTATTCCACCCAAGCACCAAAGGACATACTTTCTACTGAGCACCCCATGGAACCTTCCCCAAAATCGACAATATACTGCGGCACAAAACAAACCTCAACAAATACAAAAAGATTGAAATAATTCCATGCATTCTATCAAACTACAATGCAATAAAGCTTATAATGAACACCGGAAGATGCCCTAATCACCACATGAACACATGGAGATTAAACAACACACTCCTAAATGATGAATGGATCAAAAGAGAAATTAAGAAAGAAATAAAAATATTCCTGGAACTAAATGAAAATGTCAATATAACACAACAAAACCTCTGGGACACTCTGAAAGCTGTCCTTAGAGGGAAGTTTATAGCTCTAAGTGCCTACATCAAAAAATCGGAAAGATCACAAATAAATGACTTAATATTGCAACTCAAGACACTTGAAAAGAAACAACAAATGAAACCCAAACCCAGCATACAAGAAGAAATAACAAAAACCAGGGCGAAAATTAATGAAACCGAAACAAAACAATTCAAAGAATCAACGAATCCAAGAGCTGGTTCTTTGAAAAGATAAACAAGATTGAAATACTGCTAGCCCAGTGTGCTGGATAGCTTTAGTGTCAACTTGACATGCCTGGGTTAAGGAGAAGCCTCAGTTGGGGAATTTCCTCTATTAGACTAGCCTGTGGCCATGTCTGAGGGGCATCTTCTTGATGAGTGATGTGGGAGGGCCCAGCCCACTGTGGGTGGTGCCACCCCTGGGCAGGTGGACCCGTGTTGCATAAGAAAGCAGGCTGAGCAGGGGCCAGGGGAGGAAGCCAGTAAGCAGCATTCCTCCATGGCCTGTGTGCCAGTTCCTGCTTCCAGGTTCCTGCCCTGAGTTCCTACCTTGGGCTCTCTGATGAACTGCGACCTGGGAGACCTAAGATGAATAAACCCTTTCCCCGCCAAGTTGGTATTGGTCAGAGTGTTTTGTCACAACAATGAAGAAACAAATTAAAACATCCAGTAAACCAAAAGAAAGAAAGAGTATCTCCAAATCAACAAAATCAGAGATGAAAGGGGAAACATCACAACAGACACCAAAGAGATCCAGAACATTATAAGGGACTACTTTAAAAACCTATATGCTACTAAATTTGAAAACCTAAAAGAAATGGACTGCTATCTAAAGGCATGGGAACCACCAAAATTAAACCACGAAGAGATTAACAGCTTAAACAGACCCATAACACAAAAAGAAATTGAAACAGTAATACAAAACCTCCCGACTGAAAAAAGCCCAGGACCAGATTTACAGCAGAATTCTCCTATCAGACATTTAAAGATCTACATCCAATACTATCTAATTTATTCAAAAACATAGAAATGAGCCAGGCGTGATGGCGCACGCCTTTAATCCCAGAGGCAGAGGCAGGCGGATCTCTGTGAGTTCAAGACCAACCTGGTCTACATAGTATGTTCCAGGACAGCTGGGGCTACAGGTAGACCCTGTCCAAAAAGACCAAAAAAAGAAAAAAGAAAAAGAAAGGAAAAGAAACGAAAAAGACAAAAAGAAAACAAAACAGGGGCTGTTGAGATGGCTCAGCAGGTAAAGGCACCTGCCACCAAGCTTTATGGCCTGAATTGAACCCCCGGGACCCACATGGTGAAAGGAGAGAATCAACTTCAGAAGGTTGTCCTGTGT